TCTCCATGGAAAGCAGTTTTTTTCTTTCCCCAAACATTGTGCCAGGGCACTCAGAAGGAAGTCAGATCTGGCTTTGAGGAAGGAGTGCACAGGCTAGCGACGGATACTGGTGGCAGAATGAGGTTGGGAAGATGCGGGGGGCGGGGGGGGGGGCTGGGACTAGGTAGGGAAGAGTCTTGAATGCCAGCGAAGGAGTCTAATTTGTGCATCAGAATCATCCGGGGAGGGGTTCTGATTCAGTGGGTTTGCGGTGTGCTCTGGGAACCTGCATTTTAACGGAACCTCCTGGGATTGTGCTGCGGAGTTTTGGGGGTCTGCTCACAAAGCATATGGTCTTCCATCTCCAGGATGCCACTGGGCTGGGAGGCAGGGACCTGAGTTCCAGTCCTCAGTGGCTGGTGACCCAGTGGAACTGGCTTCCTCTCTCTCTGGGTCTCAGATTCCATAATTTTTAGATTGGTCCCTGAAAGTAGGGCCATTTTTAGATCTTTATGAGTCCCGTCTGATATGTCAGCCATTAAAATATCCCCACCTCACTTTAAGTGCTATTTATATATACTAGTAACTTAAACGTTTTGGTTTGCAGTTGCTGGATGGCACAATAGCATGTTTTATAGACAATGAAAGCTTTCTGAATTTGGAATTTATAAATTCTCGCTTTATTTTGCAGCCAATAAATGGAATTTTTAGGTCTCAATAGTTGAAAATCCTGTAGGACTAGGCCTATCAGGCCTGGTGGATAAAGTGCCGCTGACTAAGGGCATGAGAGAGCCAAATGGGAATTTTTAAGCGAAGGAGTGACAAGGTCAGATCTGGTTCTGGGAAACTGTGGCAGCTGTTGAGAACTCATTAAGTGGGGATACAGAATTAGGGTGGGGGCTGGCCCGGGCTAAAGTGGAAATAGCGGAATGGGTCAAAGGCTATGGGAATGGGGTGAAGGGAATGTGGGGTTAAGGGAGGGTTTGGGGACTGGTTTGGGGGAGTGTGAGAGGAGACAGGAATGGTTCCTAGCTTTCAGGCAGAGGCAAGGAGATGCAGCATGGGGGTGGTAGGTGGCAGGCAGTCACTGAGATGAAGACACACTAGAGGAGGAACAGTGACAGTGGGGCTGAGAGGAATACGGAGAAGGAGGGTGGAGCAGAGGGCTCACCTTCTACGGAGACTTCCCGGCAGCGTGCCAGGTCCGCCTTGTTGCCCACCAGGATGATGGGCACATGGTCCGCCTGATGTGTGCGCCTTAGCTGAATGCGGAGCTCAGAGGCGCTCTCGAAGCTGCCCCGGTCTGCGATGGAGTACACGATGACGTAGGCACTGCCCACCTGCAGGCAGGACTCCTGGCTCCAGCTTTCATCCTGTAGGGGAGGGACCCCAGGCCCGTCCTCAGAGGTTACCGAGGCCTTGGCTGCGAAAGGGGCTGAGATGCTTTAACGGGTGGGCTGGAGCTAAGGTTTATACTTCGGGCAGGTTTGAGGGACAAATTCTGCCATAATTCCCTGTTCTCCTCTCAAAGTAGTGATACGCTGATCCTCTGTGAGCCTGTTTCTCTGCTTGAAAAATTGGGCTAATGACACCACCTCACTACATTCTCTCATTCATTGGTTCCTTTGAATCTGACCGTATAAATCTGCTCCTGCGTTGAGCATCTGCCCCCTCGTGGTCAGTATGCATTATAGCGACCAGTCATTCCGCCGTTCAGTTGATTTGCATATTAGGCTTTTATTATATAGGATGACTTTGGGTAATTCATCTCCTTTCTCTGGGCCTCAGTTTCCCCAATTGTATACTAAGACAGAAGTTTCTCCCTAGTCTGAGAGTAAATCCTGAATGCCCTTTTCTGCTGTGTGGTCTTGGACAGAGTTTTTGGGTTCTCTTAACCTCAATAGGCTCATCTTTAAATGGTACCTACTAAGTGGGTGGTATGGTGGTGATGAGATGAGAAAATGCATAGCAAGCACATAGCATGGGGCCTAGCACACAGAAAGTATTAAAAAAAAGTTAGCATCCTCCCTCCCCCAGTATGTTTTTATGGATGAGAAAGAACTTTCTAGACTATAATTGGCCGTGTCCCTGGGAGGAATATTGTGGTTTCCTCACATGCTTTCCCACCCATACCTCATTCACAGACTCCTAGAATCAGAGAGGTCAGGATTGGAAGGGCCATTTTACAGATTGGCTAATTAATCCACTAAACAAATATTTACCGATTGCCTGTTTTGAGCCAGGCACTATTGTAGCTGCTCAGGAGAGAGCAGCATTGAGGGCCCTGCCCTCACGGGGCCTTCATTCCTGTGGGGGAGGCAGGCAGTAACCATGAGTACATGAGTATGTAATACAAGTTCAGTTTCAATCCCTTTATTTCATGTGTGGGGAAATGAGGCTCAAGAGGGGAAGACATTTTCCTAAAGTTCTCCAGTGTCATAGCAGGGCAAGGACTTCAAGCAAGTCTTCACAGGCTCAGAATACCCTACCCTCCGCAAATCCTGGCGTCCCCAAGG